AGTTAATTTTTGTATTTTTTGCAGAGACAGGATCTCGCTATGTTGCCCAGACTAGTCTCAAACTCCCGGGCTCAAGCAGTTCTCCTGCCTTGGCTTCCCAGGCATGAGCCACCTAGCCTGGCCTGTATTATCTTTTCTGGAATTCATCTCGCTTACTGGATTGCCAGCCTCTTCTGGAGAGCAATTTGTACTCCTAATTCCCTTATTATAGTATCTCAAAGCATGTATTGTTTAATCAAATTAGGGCTGATCAATGAGAAGTTACCCTTCGGATACACTGTCCCATGACTTCTCCGTCCACCAACAGTCCTTCTTAGGCCCTTGGCTTTCCCATGCCACTTATACATTCTTTCAAAACATTTGAGTGCGTACCATTTAGATTACTCAAATACGAAAAGCGAAAACGGTACGCACACATTTCAGGTACTCGTCAAAGATGAGTTGGACGCTGGAGGTAAAATAAAAAATGGGCCTACCATTTAGGGAGATGTGACGAAGTGACATCACTATTGCGTTAAAACCCGAGGGCCCACTGGGTCACCTCCATTTTATTCAGGTTTCGGAATCTCGGTCATGTGAGCTAACTTAAAAGGCTCAAGAGTGGTTACCTGCCCACCCGTCATAATCACTTCCCAATTCCTTGAAAACTTCGGGTTTCTAGGCCGCCAGCGCCGAGCGGAGAATCACCCTCCCTCCAGCTGCCCAGACTGGAGCTGCCCGTTCCGTTCCGTTCCGTTCCGCCCCGCCCCACTGCATGCTGGGAGTCGTAGTCCCGGCTGGCAGCGTCCGGAAGGACGGGAGGGCACGGGAGTGCAGCCCGCCCATCTGGCTACTGGAGGTCACGTTCCCTAACTGATCCCTTGGTTCTGTCGGGTGGAGCCTTCAGCGTACACGGCGAGATTTGACTTTGCCACGGTCTCTCTTGGGTTTCAATAAAGTTTTCCTCTTCCTCTCCTCGTACGGAGTTCAAGATGGCGGCCTCCTGGTCGCTCTTGGTTACCTTGCGCCCCTTAGCACAGAGCCCGCTGAGAGGGAGATGTGTTGGGTGCGGGGCCCGGGCCGCCGCTCTCGCTCCTCTGGCCACCGCCCCTGGGAAGCCCCTTTGGAAAGGTCAGTGACTGTGCCATGAGTAGTCCGAGCCGACTGCATATGACTGGAGAAGGCTCTGGGGTCACCCTCCCTGTCCGATCTACCCCTGGTGTCTCCTGCTTTCTCGAAGCTAAGGGCTCCTCGAGAGGTGTTTCCATTTCTCTTGACCTTTTATACTGTCTGTGAATGAGCCCTGAGCACTGAGGGAAATAACCCTGAGTGACTTTCATTTTGAGGGTCAGAGGTCGACTCAGAGTTTCTTCCCTCCGGGACATTTAGAGAGCTGAGCCCAGTGGGAGTGCCTGGCTTGCAGTGATGCAGGTGTGGGGTTGGGGCCTGGGGACCCCTACCCTCTGCGTTTTCCAAGCTCTCGGGGCTGGTGACTTACGGGCACTGGAGGAAGAGCCGCGCCTGGGACCTCTGCAGGCCCTGCTGTCTCTCGTGATTCTGGGAAAGAAGGTCCACACGCATTCTCAGATTTAGGGATCGATTCTTGGTGTTCTTTTAAAGTCATTAGAGGCTTCAGTGGAATTATTTTGTCACCGGGCTTTCCTTCTCCCTGGCTTCCTTCATTCAGTTATATGTTCGTGAATGAATGAATGTATATTCTGAGTAACCAAGTCAAGAGTGCCAGTTTTACTGCTCTATTCATATACTCGCACTAAACTGCACGTTTTTCAAAGGCAAGGACATTGTGTCATTGTTTCCTAAGCACTTAGCGCAATGAGTGGTACCTGATATGCAAATATGATTTTTGAATGAATGAATGAAATTATTCTCATTGTCTCCCTGATCCACATACTTGTTTTCCTTTTTCTCAAATTCAAGCAACCCCTGTAATATACCTTAATAGATTGATGACCTTAATAAAGTATATACCTTAATAAATAGATTCTTATTTATTAATTTAGCTAAAAATATGACAATCTTTGACCCTTATCATCAATGCAGTTGAAATTATTACTAGAACTTTGATTACATCACCTTACGTTTTTATCGAAAGATTAGCATAATGCACTTAGTATAATGGAATGGGCTCCACACACTGCCTAGGGGGTAGCCCTGGTCTGCTGGAGTAGTCATTATAAATAAATAAATAAATAAATGTATAATGGAATATTCTGGTAGGGTAAGCTGTGGATTATAATATGAATTTTATTTTTCGTTTTTGGTAGTCAATAAAAGCAAATAGTATAAATTTCAACAGGTGCAAGAAAGAATATGGCAAAATGTAAGGCTTTCTTCTATCCCTATCCCTTAGCTGCTTAGTTTTTCTCCTCAGAGGCAATCTCTGATACTAGTTTCTTATGTATTCTTCCAGATACATTCTGCGTATGTACAAGCATATACATATAGAGTTAACCGTTTTAAAAAAATAGAAGTAGTAACATGCTCTACACATTGTTTTGTGTATACAGCAGTTAATTCTGTTAATTGTTAATTTCTTTTTAAATTTAGTAGCTTGGAGATCATTCCATATCAATACCATATCAATTTCATATTAATAGAACTGCCTTGTGTTTTAAGTTTTAAAAATAGTATTCCATTCTATGTATATACCATGATTTATGAACATTAAGATTTAAGGACCATCATTATAACATATAAAATTCACGGAATGCTTATTCTGTGTCATACAATATGCTAAGTACTTCCTGCGTACATTATCTTATTATTCCTCATTATCCTCATTTGGAGATCACGAATTCAAGGTTGCTGAAGATATATGGCTAGTAAGTGTCAGAACTTCTGAATTCAAGTAAAGGCTGTGCTATTAATCTGTACTCATATTTTCTGGAATATACAAAATTTAGCCAGTTCTGGGTGTGACGATTAGATGAAAATGCAGTTAGGTTAGAGGTCCATTTAATTGTATCTAAGGATGCTCCCTTCCCCTTTTTATTTTTATTTTGTGTATATATATTTTTTTTTTTGAGATGAAGCCTTGCTCTGTCTCCTAGACTGGAGTGCAATGGCATGATCTCGGCTCACTGCAACCTCCACCTCCTGGATTCAAGCAATTCTCCCTGCCTCAGTCTGGGTGGGCGCCTCAGATCACAGATGTCCACCACCACTGGCAAATTTTTGT